ATATAATAATAATAATAATAATAATGATTATAATAAATTTTATCTGTTCCTGTAATTTTGAAATACTCTGCTGTAACATCGGCTACCGCAGAATAACTAAAAATGTTAAATTGAAATATTACAGCTGATACAGAAAATTATGTCCTGAGCTTAAAACTTTAGAATGGTGGATATCGAGATCAATGCTTGATCCTCTCTTTTTCTTAATCTCGAGACTAACCTAATCTTGTGTTTGTATTTTGAAAAATGTATACATTTCAATTAATCAGAGTGGCATATCAGAAGCCAGGAAATTTAAAATTTAAAATACAGAGACGGGAGAGAAGACCTTTTTTGTTTTAAAAAAACCGCTATTTTGATTTGCCTGTACTTTCGGTGTCACATCAATTGGACTAATGTATTTGTTGTAAAAATAAAAAAGGATATTTAAAAAGAGAGGATTAAGAAGAAAATCGAAAGTGTGTACATTGGATACTCAGATTAAGAACTCGAGATTAAGGATATCCCATTTAAAAGTTTTCAGCTCTGGATACGAATAAACGATCAGTCGGATCTTTCAATGAGAAGCCATCAAAGAAAGCTTAATAATTGGGCATGAAGAGCCATAATAAAGAAATGCCATCTTATAAGGGACTCTCCATGCCATGATGACAATGCCCAATTTACACCAGATACTTTATAAACTTTGTCAGAGCCCGCGATTTAAAAATTTCGGCTCGAGTCGTAATTCCTTAAACCCGACTTTAAGACCGATCGCCTCAACTCTGACGACTGCCTGTGTCACATGATTGACAGCTGCAAGATCTTTGGCTAGACTTAAGGAGCTTGGTAAATAATAAGGGAGAGGGAAGGTTGGAATATTTTTCTTGATTATGTCCCTGTTGAATTTCAATAAAATAAGATTTCAGACGATGAAAATTGAAATATAAAGTTTCTTTGTAATAAAATAAAAAAAGTTTATGGCACACCTCAGCAGTTTTACTTTTAGACAGAGGTTAATATATTTTTTCTTAAAAAATTTCTCTTTAAGATTATAATAATGTGCTATGCTTGCAAAAAAAAATAAGAAAAAAAAGCATTCTTTGTCAAGAACTAGAGTATATATTAAGAATGAGATTTTGATTTAGATATAAAATATGTAATATTTAGAATTTCATCGGCACGGAATATAGAGTTTTACATTTTTATTTTAAGTTAATATTCATCAGAAATACAAAGTTACTAAGTTTTGCTACAAACTCAAATATTCTTAGCAAACCATGTAGTAGGACTTTGATATTTCAAACTATGAATTCTGTTAGATCAAATAATTAACCTAAGTTTAAAATATCAAAAAATTACTCAATTAGGTCGAAAAGTTATAGGGATTAAAATTGTGACAAAAAGGACTCCCAGTACCTGATCCAAAGAGCATTGTTGGATAGGTTAAGCATAGCCAGGCTTCCCAATATAAACCATCTTCGTTTGTACAGTATATACCTTAATATACAATGAAGTACAGTACATACCTTAATATACAATACAGTACAGTATATACCTTAATTTACAATACAGTACAGTAGATACCTTAATATACAATACAGTACAGTATATCCTTAATATGCAATACAGTACAGTACATACATTAATATACAATACAATACAGTATATACCTTAATATACAATACAGTACAGTATATACGTTAATATACAATACAGTACAGTGTATACCTTAATATACAATACAGTACAGTGTATACCTTAATATACAATACAGTACAGTATATACCTTAATATACAATACAGTACAGTATATACCTTAATATACAATACAGTACAGTACATACATTAATATACAATACAGTACAGTGTATACATTAATATACAATATAGTACAGTACATACCTTAATATATAATACAATACAGTACAGTATATACCTTAATATACAATACAGTACAGTACAGTATAAACCTTAATATACAATACAGTACAGTATATACCTTGATATACAATACAGTACAGTATATACCTTAATATACAATACAGTACAGTATATACCTTAATATACAATACAGTACAGTATATACATAATGAATTAGGTTATGGCACGGTACGCCTGTCAGTGTCTGAAGGAGAGCACGAGGAGGATTTTAAAGATCGATTTTGCGCTCTTACAGTATATAAAACAAACGTCTTATAGGTTTCGAATGATTTCTAAAAAAAAATCTCAACAATACTGTACTCTCAGCTCAACAACCATATCTAGCCAGACACTCCCTTTAATCTACAAACCTTTAAAGTGCAAAAACTACCAATATGCAAAAGGGGGGGGGGAGTTGGGGGTGATTAAAAAACAACGCCTGATCTGATTTATTCCATTAGATTAGAAAAAAACTAGAATATCTCTGATCCCAAAGATACATAAATTTATTTTAGAAGTAAAATGTTTTAGCAAAGAAAACTGAACACAATATTTTTAGATTCTCCGACTCTGTATGTAAGTAATGAGCTGAACACGCTGTTTCAACAGTTCGGTCCTTAGATTAGCTAGCTGTCACTTTCTATAACAATTTTACCAAGTAAACATAAAATAAAAACCAAAAACGCTGGAATAGGAAGACGACTTTAAGACTCGAGAAATGACTTTAAATAGTTTGATGAACATGAGACACTGCAATTGTGCAGTGTGCACAGACCTATTAAGCTGATTCAATAAGCTACAATTAAACTAAAACAATAAACAACATCAAATACACTTGAGTATTGCAATAATGTCGTCTTCTTATTCTACAGTTTTCTAGTTCTCACTGTAGACTTTTTTCTTTTACTCTTTTATACTTTTTGGCGAATGCGTTTTAAATAAAAAAGGATAAAAAATAAAAAATAAAACCTTGCAAGTTTTAAAGACTGATGAATTAAAAAAAACTCAATTAAATTTAAATTTGAAAAAAACGAACGCATTTAGCCCTGGTTAGTTCAGGATTGGAGGAATTGGAGAATAAAACTTACTCTGACGAACTACTGTTTGGTTCCATTTTTCAGCTGCGCCCTCGCTAACTAACCAACTATCATCTCATCTTTATCTAAAACATCAATCCTACAGGAAATTATGAACAGTTTCTTTAAACAGTGGTCGGCAGAAAAAAACAGAACAGGAAGACGACATAACAAGTGCTGTAAAGTACTTCTATGTTGTTTTAAATCATATTATTGGTTGTATTATGATAAAATGGGATTAGTTATAAACTATTTAAATAAAATGTCTGACATGAAAGTTGTTGCATTGGATAGGTTTTACAGAAACAATTCCTGAATAATGTTTTTCTGTCTGCCTTTACATGTATATGTCCGATCATACCTCACGAACCCCTTGGCCGATTTGCCTCTAATTGTGATAAAGGAACTTTATAGAACCACAGGAATGTTATTAGCTATGTTTAAAAACGATTAGATCGACTTTTATAAAGAAAACTTAGATTCCAAGCAAGGCCGGGTTCCCAGGCTAACCTTTTGATATAGGGATTCACTGAGTCTTTGCAAGTTTTTTTATCAAATAATTACTTTTTATTCGATTAAAAGTTGCTGACGTAGATTCTGTACTTTGAGCTTAAAAAGATGTCTGAAAACATTTTTAACATAAAATCTATTAAATTATTTAATTTTCTAATTAGTTGATTATAATGTTTTGAAAGCATCACCTTGTGGATTTGACGTGGCTATATATTGAGCCACAAAGTATATCATTTATAAAGTATTTCAGAAAGATAAGACAAGATTACTCTAATTTTGAACTATAAATATAAATAATCAAACAGATTTAAAAAATAAGCCTTTATTCAGAAAATACAGGGTTCCACACACACAAAGTATCAGACTTCAGAGACGACTGTACAGAATTTATACTCTCTATTTTCTTACATTTATGATTTTCTAGTTTTTCTCTTTCGAACTCATTAACAAGACCCGGAGAAGACTATAGTCAAGGTAGAAGACTTAATTTAACCATAGTTGATCAATAGACAGAATTCTTGCCATAAACTCTAATTTTTCATCCCCTATATAACTTTCAATAAAAAATTGTAAAATTGATGTTTTAAACTTTAACTGTTGGATTTACCAGAATAGTCTAAAATATCCAAAGGCCTATGACAAAAAATTAAAAAGATATGAGCGTCAGAAAATTAAAAAGAGTAATCAATTAATAGTGATTGTTTTCTTCGACATAGCTAATGTTTGAATACAATTTATACTTTATCCTAAGGCTTATAAAAGTCTGGGTAAAAAGAGAAAATATTTACTACTGAGCTAGATATCCTTAATTTTTATCAATTATTGTAAGATAAAAATTAAGCTGATAACGTGTGGGGGGGGGGGGAACCTTGTGTACGACAGAGTTTTAAAATCAATGGCTTCAATATGATAAGCATTCGAAGTAAATGCGTTTTTGCCACAAACTCTGATTTTCTCATCTTTGCAACCCAATGTAGTAAACCTTAGATATAGGGTTTAGAAAATTTGCGTTTGTAGAAAAAACTTCATTTCTTTGTTTTGGTCTATTCACCCAATTAAATTATATCTTCTATCAGGCCCAAATTTTGTGTGGGACCTCACGTGACCTCAGTGAAGGTTGCTTAATGATCAAAATTTCAAAAATTTGTTTTTAACAAGTTTTTTCTTTTTGTAAAATTTTGAAAATGCGCGAAAAAATATTATGAATCCGCAAACTTTTGTTTGATTTTGTTTTAGAGAAGATGTTCACAGATAAAGCCACAATTAAAATTGGAAATGGAAGATGGGCGCAAAGCACCCTAAAACCCTAATTAATTTAAATTCTCTTTTTGGCAATTTTTGACAATATATTTTTTAACTAGATGAAGTTCCCGTGGAATAATTAAAGAACACTTAAGAAACAAAATCGAATTTTAAAGAAAAACTGTCGAATTTGTTAAGCCTATGTCACCCACAGGGTATTCACGGGTTTCCTCAAAATAAATTCAGCAAAGAAATAGAGTTGTTGCTACAAACTCAAATTTTATAATCCCTATACCTTGACAACCTGATTGTGTAAACCTTTGATATCTAAAACTCAGATTTATATATATAAATATATATATGAGCTTAAAAATGTACAGTGATAACCAGAAAACAGTTGAATAGAAAGACGACATTATACCAATGCTTAAGCGTTTTGATGCTGTTACAAAGCAAATATTGTTACTAGTAACTTAGCAAAGCACTATTTTAGAGAAATGGGTCTATTTACACTGTACAATTGCTATGTCTAATGCTTATTGAACTAGTTTAAGTCCTAACTTGAGTTTAAAAGTCGTCTTCCTATTTCAAAGTTTTCTGGTTATCACTGTATACGTTAGTTTCTTTTACTGGGTTTTTTGAAAAACTTACGTAGGCAAAAAAGGAGATAAATCTAGACAAAAGGTCTTGCATCCCGTGGGTTGGTGACTAATTTTCATTATCGTATAGTTTGTAGTAATGCTGTATACAGGCAGCCGTAGTACATTTGAATATTCGAGCCGGGTCAACCTTTCCAGTCCCAGTTTGTACTGTATCGGGTAAATAAAGCAGACCCTCAATAGGACTAAACGGGGCAGGTTGAATTTACTTTTACTAAAGGGTCAGGGGTGCGTGATATGGAATTGTTTTGTGATATAAAATATAAAATGTCATCTGTACAGAAATGTAGCAAAGGAATTGAATCTTTGTCTCTAACTCCGATTTCCTATATTTTCATGTTCGCAATCTAATGTTGTAGACCTTGATACTATAATTTTTGTTGGATCAAATAATCTAATTGTTTGACATATCAATGGTTAAACCATTAGGTTGCAAAGAAATTGGGATTACAAAATTTGAGTTTGTGACAAAAACTCAACTCCATTATCCCTATTATAAAAGGATAATTCTTTCAAATTAAACTATTTGTTGGTTCAAATTGGAATTCCAAGAGATTAGAGAATTTTCCTGAAAGATTTAAGAAAAACTTTAATTTTACGCATTAACAAAAATATAAACTCTGTTAAGTTTTTCGTTTTAGGAAATTTTACATTTAACAATAATTTTTTTAAACAAAAAATCTGTTGGTACATTTATGGTTTGAATTTACTTAATTATTAAATGGAAACAAGAAAATTATGTAAAAGTATGCTGAACTTCAGGTTATTATGCATGCATACAACCTTTAAATAATAATCAATACATTAGGATGCGTTTGTTGGAAGCAAAACTTGACAATTTTCTTTCTAAAAGATGTTTAAAAACCTGTGGTGTGTAAAAACAAATGTTCGGCCCAATCAAAATCGCAAATAAATTACTAAATTTGTTGCGTGCTCGAATCAATCGATCAAAAAATATTGTTGTTTTAAGTATTTAATTACATACAAGGGACGAAAGTTTCAAACCGTACTCACGTTCCAAACCTGACACTCAGTGAAAGGTCTAGGCCTACTCACGTTTTGGGACTTTCTTCCCCTAAAGTAAGCAGTGGAAAATTATGCAAATACCTTTTTTAAAATTCCTTCTCAGGAATTTTTGTTTTCAAAATCTTCATTTTACAAAAAAAAGTTTTCCTGCAGGTTTTTACATTTGAATACAAATTTTTGTGAACTAGAGTTGTAATTATAAAAAGTTTAATTTTTATAAACTAATTTTTCAACATTTTTCTTTTATCTTCAAAGAGAGCTCAAAACTTGAGTTTTTACAATACAGCCAGATTGCACTTATCTCTAAGTAAGTCTTGCATTTGCCATTTTACTTTCTAAGATGAAAACGATACAAATTACAAAGATACACAACTCATCGGAATTATTTTTGAAAGTATTACTTCATTTTCATTCAAAAATTTTATTGTTTTCTATGCTTTCAGAAGACATTTACATATTTGTTAATTTTTGCTTTATTACACGGCATGGTGCGCGGTATTACACGGCATGGTGCGCGGTATTACAAAATAGAAAATTGCAACTAACAGTCGGGTTTGCTTCATTAACATTTTATGATATGTTATTAGTACAGATTTCGAAAAATGTATAGGCGCAGAATGTATTCTGGAAACTTGGGGCTTAGGTCTCCCAACCATCGTTCATCCAAGATTTCTCTTAGATTGTTCCACGAATCTACCAATCCAGCATCGATGACACAAAACCATAGTAATTCAATATAAACTCAATTTTCCAGGATTATCTAGATTTCACAACTTTTGAATACCAGACATTAATACCTAAAATGGCCATCCTAGTTTTTCTTTTTACAAGCTAACGTCTGGCGTTGCCCTTAGAATAAAAAACAATTTTAATAAAAATTTCGATTTTTGATTTAGCCTATAATGGTTTCCCTAATAAAATGCCAACCCATTCGGTCCAGCAGTTTCAAGTTAGCTGGCTATAGGGAACATATATTATACGAATGTCTTATTTTATTATATAGATATAGATTATAGTTAAGATAGAACAGAGTCATCTTTTGCATGTATATATTCTTATATAATTAAAGTAAACAATTGTTGAAAATAGATTTTCGAAATAAATATTCTGAAGATTCTAAACAATTAACAGATTTTCGTGGAGCCTTTTCAATTCAATTCAATGCAAAGAAATATTTTGCAATTTTTCTCACTAATTATAAAACTTTTTTACCCTGCAAATTTTCTATATTCTCTCTATATTCTATTTTCATAGATTTAACAATTCTGCGCAAAGTAAGATGAATTTTTCGATCCGCCCCCCACCCCCCTGTTTATGTTCTCAAAATTAATGATGTCAGGGGTCTGTCCTATAAGAGAACGACATTTGGATCCTCCTCCTCGCCCCCCCCCCCCTCTCCTCCTATAAATTTTGTACATGACCACTTATTTCGTAGCAAAATTATTATTATTTTTTAAATTTATTTTAGGGTAAGGTTATAACCTATAGGTTAAGACAATTTCTGGGCCCAGCGCAGCGGCTACAACAGGATAGGGATCCGAGCGCCGCGGCTAGGACAGGATAGGGGGCCGGGCGTTGTGGCCACATGACCAATTACATCCATGTGTGTTACATCTGAGATCCATGTACAAAATTGACAGAGGGGGGGGGGGTCCAAATACCATACTCTAGGAAATTATATGTATTCATCATTTATATTTGTCTAAAGCAAAATCACATTAAACAATATAAAAGTTTACAAATATCATACTCTAGGAAATTACCGATATTATAGCTTTTAATTGTCATGTCAGTGCCTGCAGTAGCCATTGATGTTTTCAAAAGGAAACTTATAAACATGTCAACTTTAATATTTTTGAAAATAAATGTTTCTCGTTCTTATTCTCAAAAAGTCTTTAAAGTAACCGTGACCGAGGTAAAAATCGCTTTCTATATTGTAAATAACTTCTCAAGACCCAATTTGTCTGTTTGTTTTGTTTTTATCAAAAAATGAAAGCAGGTAGAAACCGCAAATAGTCGTCTTACATTTTATTAAAATAATTTTGTTTTAACACAATGGGGAAACACCCAAAACAATTCAAATATTGTGATATTTTTTAGTTTGCCACATCAATCGATTAAAAAAGTTATAAGCAACCTTTTTTGTTCAAGCGTAAGTTTTAAATTAGGAATCGATTCAATCGATAAATATTGTTGGAACACGTATATTATTTCTGAATCAGTTACGTGGCATTATGATAAATTTCCGCGCATAATTCATTCCCTCAATTTGCCGAAACACTCGGAAACACCGCACGCCGTCCTCGTACTTCCACAATCTTGAGTGAACAACTGAAAGTAAACAAAATAAATTTATTTTCTTCAGATATTTACTCGCATCAAAAATGGCTGAGACCGAGGAATATAACGGAGACAATTTGATCTACGAAGCCGAAGTCTCGGACGCTGGGGTTGATGCCGACGGAGACGATATGGAGGTATACATGTAGGCTTTGAACAATTTCCAATTTCACGCTTTTTGGACCCCCATCCCTCCAATTTATCATTATTTTGGCTCAACAACGCCTTGTTTGGGGGATAAATATGATATATTTTCTCTCTGAAGATCCTATGCCATTTGCACTAAAATGGGGCCTGTCCTAGAGAACGTTTTATGAACCCNTCAGGACAGACCGCCTATTTTAATCACACTGCTATGATTGGCCATGTGGCCGCAGAGCCCGGCCCTCTAGCCTAACCTAGCCGCGGCTCTTGGCCCCTAGCATGTCCTAGCCGCAGCGCTTGGCCCTAGCCTGTTCATATGCTTTAAAATTAGTGTAGTTGAACTCATTTTTAGTTAATGGGTAAAAGAGTAAAATTTGTAATTTTAGCTCAATCGAACATTTTTTGCTTATTCCTTACTAAAATATGTTCAATGGAGCTAATTAATTAAATGAGCCGAATTCCACTAGAATTTTAAAAAATAGTGCTCCACGTTGCTTGTTAAACCTTCCACGCGGATTTTAGTTTGATTAAATAATCTCAAGTGTTCATTCGCACTATAGTGCTAATGACCGTTAGTCAGACCAATCATTAAAATTTCAATCGATATTTTACTTTCGTTTCACAGGAAGCAAAGTAAACCCTTATTTTTCCCGCAATGGCAAGGTTATGTTTTCACCCTTAAAAGATTGTTATTGTGAAAATTCATGACTCAAAAAAATATGAAATTTCAGGGGACCTGGTCATTATTAATTACCCAAAACGCACCTTCTTAAAACTAATATTCCAAAAATCCCCGCCGGAATAAACAAGGGGGGGGGGACAATAATATGAGCCTCAGAACTAATGTACACCCCTGGACCCCATCCTTATTATAAGATTGACAACTTAAGTTTGCCTGATGCAAACAACCCGACTATTTTACCCTTAAAAGTAATTAATAAATAATAATTATTATTACAGCAAGATTCTGAGCTGGAAGCTATCAAGGCACGAGTGCGGGCGATGGAAGAAGAATCCGAGAAGTTGAAGCAGTTACAGAATGAGGCATAGAATGTTATATATCTATTACTATGAGGGGATTTTTATACGTTTTCTAAGTGGGGGTGGGGAAATAAAGGGGCTATAATCGAAAGTTCCAAGGGTCCACTCCATGGCAATGCCGGATTCACAACGGCACTCTTTAGAGCTTTGTCTGATAAAATAGGAATTAGTAAATATTAACAATGATAATAATTATTTTCAATTTTTTTTCAGAAGATACTTGCGCATTTCTACTGCACAAATTCTTATAAATCAATGATTGTAAGTTTCAAAACTCTATAAAATTGACTTGTAATTCTTATATTTATATATAGATATATATATTATCAGAAATAAACACTTATTAAAACTAGAAAACGACAATATCTTACATATGATTGATCAGATAAAGGTTTTAATGGTATCGTTATAAATCGGGCACTGCCATATTTACATAGAGGGTTACTTGAAAATACGCTTACAGTCCCTTTAATATTATAATTGAATTGTGTTAGGTTGATAAACAGCTCTCCATCCCTACCTCCCCAACCGCAGCAGCAAACCTTAGTGTAGAGGAGAAGATGGAAGTAGATGCTCGTAGTGTTTATATAGGTAGGAATATATCCAACCATTATACAACCACAACACATAGTTCCGGAAACAAAGTTTCACAGGGGTGTAAAATTAGAGAAATGATTTTGCTGAATTGGGGTGGAAAAATTGGATTACAAAAACCAAATTTTTTCATACAAATCGATATTTTTCCACACAAAAAAGTCTGGCCGGGAAATTAATTTTTTAAAGAGGGAGGGGGGGGGGGGTTGCATGAAAATGTACAGTGTACACTCTTTTTTCCTTCTCTGGCAAGTTGACATTGACTATGCTGCTACTTCTCTAGAAATCATAGATATAATATTTAAGAAGTTTTGATTATGCTGCTACTGCTGAAGAACTCATTATATAAAATAAAATATTTAGGAAATGTTGACTATGCTGCTACTGCAGAAGAACTAGAACAACACTTTCATGGTTGTGGATCTATCAACAGGTTAGGAATTAGGAATTAGGAATAGTTAATTTTTTCAATATCAGGTATAAAATGCAGAGAATTGGAGGCAGAACCTAGAATTGGTTTGATCCGGAACAATTAAGCTTTCCGGATATAAATATATCCGGATCGAAGAGGAAACATATCAACAAAAACTGTTTTATCAAACTTTGCTCTCAAAGTTTTAGCTTAAAAATTAGCGAAAAATAAAAAAAATATTTAAATTCTTTTATGCTTAAATCAGTAAATAATGAAGAAATTTATATATAATTGTCCAGATATAATCTACATATTTGAACAATGTCGGATCCATAAGACTGACATGCTGTTACTTTGTTACAGTGCTTAGGACCCGGATCCGCAAAATATGCGGATCCCCGGATCCCAGGGTCAAAATATAAACAAATTATTGCAAAAAAAATCTTGAAAAAAAGATAAAAATTAATAAATATTTCCATGTTTTAAAGAAGGTTTATCAAGTTTTAGCATAAAAATAAGCAAAGAAAAAAAAGAAAAAAACTTTTTAAATTCTTTTCAGTTAAGAGATCATTAAATTTTGAAATGTGTTCATGACCTGGATTAAGATTTGGATCTGGATCCATTTTTCCAGTGAAAATCTGATCCGGATCTGCAGTAGAATCAAGATTTTGATCCGGATCCATTTTTTTCAGTAAAGATCTGATCCTGATCTGCATCAAAATTAAATGGATCCTAAGTAATGGCTACATTTACTAAAAATTTAATTTTATTCTAGAGTGACCATCCTTACCAACAAGTTTGACGGGCACCCTAAAGGGTTTGCGTATGTGGAGTTTACAGACAAGGATTCAGTATCAACTGCCATGGCGCTGGATGAGAGTTTGTTCAGAGGAAGACAGATCAAGGTATCAATTACAGACTACACAGACTGCTTATTTCCTTTCATAGGGTGGGCTACGTAGGATTAAGTTGACCCGGCACGACATGCTACGTTTTTACGATATGTTTTTATAGTGCCATCTCACGGCCACTTGTTGCACATAATACCCATTCAGGGGTTAAGTTTTACAATTTTTAAAGAAATACTCCAATTTTAAACTTGAACATATACAATGCATTTAAGATCGGAACTCAAAATAAGAGTCCGCTGTTTTCACGGATTGTATAGTACAACTAGTACGGGGGTACACTTGGACATTTTTACACAAACTTTTCATTCCGAGGTTAAAATTCAATAAATAGAGGCAATAATTTCTTGTTAATTTCTTTACCCACAATCTATTTTGAATATCTTATAATTCTTTGAAGAATTTAGAAACAGCATAATTGTAATTTTTCATTTAAAAAACATTTGTTTGAAGGTGATGCCTAAGAGGACAAACAAGCACGGCCTCTCTACCACAAACCGGCCTCCTCGAGGTCGAGGTGGCCGTGGTAGAGCCCCGCGGTCAAGAGGATTCGGCGGCGGATACATGCGCAGACCTCGGGGAGGTTACAGAGGACGTAGTTCATTTTATAGTCCTTATTAGTTTCTACAGGGTGAGTAGAAAATATTGAAAATTGTCAAATTTAAGAATCGAATTGGATTCATTAAGATGCCCAGGAATGGTCCAATCGATTTATTCTTAAGCTTTTTAAATAAAAATATATAGACTGTTTAAAAATTTATTTAGTATTTTGTTCATCAAGTACCTGTGTAACATTTTTATCATTATAATTTTGAAGAATGACAATTTTTATGCAATTTAAAGGAAAAGAGCTTTAGGCCACTGCCAAAAAAAAACAGAATCTGGCAGAAGAAAAAACATCAAAAAATTACTGCCAAAAAAATCAAATCTGGCAGAAGAAAAAAAACCATCATAAAAAAGACTGTCAAAAAAACCGAATCTGGCAGAAGAAAAAACATCAATAAAAACTGTCAAAAAAAAGTTCTGGCAGAAGAAAAAATCCAGCCAAAAAAAAAATGGCTTCATTTAAAAAAAAAAATAAACTCGGCTAAAACAGCTCAATCTAGCCACAAAGAACATTTATGCTAAATATTCTTCTGTATTGTGCATTTTGATATGACTTATGTCAACATGTGTTTTTTCTTTTGTACTATCAATAGCCCAACATTTTTTTATTGTTCTTTCAGATTGGACAAAGCAAGCTAAAATGATTTAATCGTTCGGATTCGGCAATACACCGAATGTTATGAGAACAAGGTTAAAGTGATAAAGTGAGACCTAGCTTAATCGAATAATAATGATTTTGTTGCCAAGAGTTTCCCTTTTGCTTTTCTTCTCATCAGCTTGTTCTGCATATTTTAATTTAGGAAATACATAAACACATTTTATACCTGTGTGGGAAAGTTGTCAGGGGTGAGGGCTGGGATTCTTAATTTGCGGATTAGCCCAGGGGTGTATTTTTTATAAAGAATAGATTACAGAGCTCAAAACTTTAGAATTGGATACCCTTATTCTGATCTCTTAATCTGAATATTCACTGTGGAAACTTATTTTTTTATGAATCCTTTCTTTTGGTACACTCTGATTGGTTGAATTCTAAGTACTTAAAGTGTAGAAGGATTAATATAATCTGGAGGTTAACAAAAAGAAGAGATCAAACATTGATCTCGATTTCCACAATTCTAAAGTTTTCAGCTCAGATTGATTTTTTAGGATCTGGGCCCTGGGAGACAAATTAAAATAAATAGCTTTCCAACGGGGGGAGAGGGGGGTGATGTATCGAGAAAATATACACCCCTAGATTAGTTGCTAAAAAGATTGAAAATATACACCCCTGGATTAGTTGCAATAAAATGTTAAAAAAAAATCAAGTTCCTTTTCTCATTTGCAGTTTTGAAACCGTTACCTTAATCGTAATTAAACATCTTAACCTTTTGTTTGTGTATAGAAGAAATAGATAAGATAGAATATTCTGTTTCTATCCTCGACACTCCCCTCTCCTTCCAGGATGCAGAGAACCCCCAAGAGAACATCCTCACCATGGTGAACAAGTTTGGACAGAAGTATCAATGTCTTCTGCCTGTCCAGGTTAGTTCTTTAATCTTGTTTTTAGGCTTAGAGCCCTGAACAACGGCGGACGCGACGTCTACCTATGGGTGGGTAATAAAACTGGGGAGTCCTATGTTGTCATTTATGTTTTTAACCTTAAAAGGTTGCAAGACCAGCTGAAGTAATGGTATATCTTTGTAAAGTTAGCAAAGCTTAAAACCAAAGTCGACTGAACCCAACGGTCGTCATGAAATATTCAGTTGACCGGGTGATAGCAGCCCTCCTGGTGAATTTACCCCCTCTACATGGCACGAGAAGGAGGGAAGGGGATAGAAACTGTATTATGTAAAGTTATACAATTTAGGAGAAGGAGAAGGAAAGAGAGATAGGGAGTGGTATAAAACTGTCAAAGAAGTAATATGATACAATTTAGGAGAAGGAGGAGAGGTAAGGAGAGAAAGAGGAGGGGGTTAAAGTGTTAAATATGTAAAATGATACACATTAGAAGAAGTAGGAGAAGGAGGGAGAGAGAGGGGAAGGGGTAGAAACTGTTCAAGATGTAAAATGAGAAACTGTTAAATATGTGAAATGATACACATTAGAAGAAGTAGGAGAAGGAAGGAGAGAGAGGGGAAGGGGTAGAAACTGTTCAAGATATAAAATGAGAAACTGTTCAAGGTGGAAAATAAGAAACTGTTCAAGATGTAAAATGATTCACTATAGGAGAAGTAGGAGAAGGAAGGAGAGAGAGGGGAGATGGTAAAAATGTTAAATACACTTTAAGAGAAGGAGGAGATGGAAGGAGAGAAAGGGGGGGGGGTAGAAACTGTTCAAGATGTAAAATGAGAAACTGTTCAAGATGTAAAATGAGAAACTGTTCAAGATGTAAAATGAGAAACTGTTCAAGATGTAAAATGAGAAACTGTTCAAGGTGGAAAATGAGAAACTGTTCAAGATGGAAAATGATACACTTTAGGAGAAGTTGTAGAAGGAAGGAGAGAAAGAGGAGGGGGTGAAAATGTTAAATACACTTTAAGAGAAGGAGGAGAAGGAAGGAGAGAAAGGGGAGGGGGTAAAAATGTTAAATACACTTTAAGAGAAAGAGGAGATGGAAGGAGAGAGAGAGGGGGGGAGTATAAAACTGTCAAAGATGTAAAATGATACAATTTAGGAGAAGGAGGAGAAGGAAGGAGAGAGAGGGGAAGGGGTAGAAACTGTTCAAGATGTAAAATCATTGTTGGCCCCTCTCCACACATCTCCCTGTCTTATCAGAACAAAAGACTGGTGGACATATGAGGTACGGTTTAAAGATCCATTAGACCAAAGTTATAATGCAAGGAAAGTTAATTGCAGTTGTGTATACTCTGCTTACATATTAAAACCAGTTCTCTCTGAGCGGAATTTGTAAACAAGACTAGATGCATCATTGTTCGTTTTGTATCCGAGAAGGTTAAAAGTATTAAATTTTGATAATTTTGATAATTTACATAATAGTTTCCTATGACCAGAATATTTCATCGATTTTTTTTTGTGAAAGATGGATCCCATGTCAGGCTGTGATATCCGTCTTGTGTGTACATTACCGCCCAGAGACAGTACACTACAGTACAAAAGATGCGTACACCTCTGAAATAACTTTCTTTGCATTATAACCTTGCATTAGACGAAGAATATTTATTTTATTTCAAAGTTTTCTTGAACTTTTTAACGCTTGAACGTTGTAGTGCGGTCATAGTAAGACATTTTATGGATGAACATTTCTTGGCTGTTAAATTTCATGGCACTACGAGAAATATATTAAGTATGTGAAAAAAACTCTTTCTTTATTTCGATCATTTATTGAATATGGAATTTCAGCCTGGGGATGTCAGAAATGAAACAAATTCACATTTTACAGAAACGAGCAATACAATTAATTGATAACTCAAAAGCCACGTCTCATAGTGATCCTCTTTTCCTTAAGTATAAGATTCTAAAGATTAATGATCTGGTAGACTTTAACCAAGCTATATTTATGTATAAATATACACATAAACTTCTTCCTGAATCTTTTGAAAAAAAATATTTTTAAAATGCTTGGAACCTTTGAAAGATCTCTTAACTATCAACTTGACATTCTCAAAATGTGCTCATTACAGTATTTACAATCAAGCTCTCTTCTTAAGATGTGGAATAACCTGCCTCTTGACTTAAAAAGAAGCAACTCTCGATGTATATTTATAAATAGACTACTAAATTCTTTTTTTGAAAATTATAGGACAATGTGTTATAAACCGAATTGCTATTCATGTGAAACTAATTAGATATGTTTTAATATGCTTTGATATTTGTTGTGTACATGTCAGAAAATTACTTTAAACTCTAGTTATTCGAATTAGTGTATAAACTATTTTGCATATGATAAATTTGCACCCTGATCTCTAATAGTTGAAATATAATTGAAATATTTTGTTATTATTACTAAAATTAGGTGGAAAAAATAATCAAAACAGCCAAGAGCTATTTTCCACCTAATTGCTTTATACTTGTACTGTTAATATAATCATCAATTTTGTGATTGTAAACTCTATCTGTATACAGATACATTTATTTTAGCAATACACTTTATCTTACCTTTTATCTTATCTTGTTTAAATATAAAGATATTTTTAACATCCTTGATCTATATATCCTATATATTAGAAAGTGTTCACATTATTAGGAAATGGAAATTAGTTTGATAGCTTATTAGATTCGTAAAGTTCTATAAACCCATCCAACATTCTGTGGAAAGTTTTTCTATCAAATGTTTTAAAACAAATTTCGCTCCTCTATTTCTCAAATTGGAGGTTGATTTGTAGCAAACTCTAAAATTATCTGCACTTAACAAGCGTAGAAGAAAACAAAGCTAGATATATTTTATCAGATATAGTTTTCGTTTTACCGCTTAAGAACGGGGAAGAAAACTGGTAAGATTTCCCCTTACCCGAAACTTGGTTCAGTTTCCCCAAAAAGCATTTATTTTCACTTCAGTTTTCACCTGGAAGCAATCGAAAATTTGATAAATATTGAGTTTCCAGGTATTTCATGGCAAAGCACTGGCTCATTTATAACATTTATAACATTTATAACATTCATAACATTTATAACTTAATTTTTACAAAATTGTTTTGTTTATTATTGCAAACTCTGTCCTTTTTACAGAACTGAATCCTGTATAGTGTATACTTATTCTTTAAGTAATAGTTTTTATGCCTTATACCCCAGATACGTTGGATCATGATCGAATGTTCTTGCTCAGGTGTGTTTTGGGCGACGTATCCGTCAATATCACATGGAAAATGATCGTCCTGTTGGAGTTATAATGGATCTTGGTACCTTCGACTCAACCAGGGATATTCTAACAGTCATCCAACCTTAAATTCATCCTAAAGAGTCCCCAGCTAGGGAACTCTAGTTTTCCTAATTCAGCAAATAAACCCCTTAAAAAATACCTCTCCGCGCAAACATAGATAATAAATAATTCTGGGTAAAAAATAATAATATTACACAATTCTCATCTTGTTAAATTTGGCTGGAATTTAAATTATCTAGAAATTTTAAATTTTATTACAAAACTTGGATGAGGAGAAAATGTGAAAGGGATTTAAATTTTCAAACTTTTTATCGTTTTTTTTTGCTATTCAGTAATAAATAGAACTTGAAAACTTAAGAAAAAAAAATAACAAGTGTCAATGAATTTTCCTTGTTGAAAGTAGAATATGCATGTGTAGGGAAGGGGTTGATGAGAAACTTACATATCATCCTGAGTGGTATACTAATGGTTCAAGGTCAGTTTTACACTTCAAAGGAATTGAGTCGTTGTCACAAACTCTGATTTTCTAATCCAAATACAGAGTGTCCCACATCAGATTAGATCGTTTATAGCTCTAAATAGAGATTTAAAGGACTATGCAGAAAAAGAAAGATACCAACCATTTAAAACATGTAAAAGGCTACTTTTAAAATTCTTGCAGAAAGTTCCAGATTTTTGAGTATTATGTTGGTTATTTTGGCGTTAAAGCTTGGAGATAATGAAATATGATATGGGACACTCTGCATCTTTGCAATTTTATGTCGGTATACCTCGGATATTTCAAACTATGAATTCTGTTAGTTCAAATAATCTGAGTTTGAAATGTCAATGGTTTACACCATCAGGTTGGAAAGATATAGGGATTCGAGTTTGTGGCAAAGACTGAATTCCTTTCTATTTATTTTAATAGACTCAATCATGAGGTGTAGAAAAGTATTTTGAAATAATCTCTTAAAAAGGGAGTGATTAAAATAGGTGTATTTGATTGGACACTAGCTGACGACAAAGGAAGAGGACAGTGGGGGGGGGGGGTAGGTGGCGTTACTTAAGGGGCTGGATGAACTGACCGCTAAGAATGAGATTGAAGGGGGAGGGGGCTTGTTTCACTAAATGTGCAATGACCGCTAAGATTAGAAGGTTTTGCTGACCTTTAGCTCTAGCAGTAGTGATTTGGCCGCTGACCAGCGTTGCCAACCGCGGAAATTTTTCCCTACTTTTTGGGAATGGGGAATTAAATGCAAATTGGGGCATTTCGGTGGAATTTAAAACTTTTTGAAATATTTTGTAAATTGTGCTTAAAACAATACATATTGTTCAAAATTCATAACAAGTTATCCCATTACTTATTGTTTGCCAATATGTAATTGTGATCTAAACCAATCTAATTCAGATAAATAATTGTCAATTGTCAGTTTTTCTCCAAAAATGGCTTTTGAAATATCAAAAATACTCGATTAAAAACGTTTTTTTACTGTGTATTTAGTACAAAAAATTATGGGTAATTTTCAAGACTGAAATTGGGAATTATCTTCCCTGGGAGTTGGCAATGCTGCCGCTAACGAAAAAAGCATTTAAGATTCAAAGATATGCTCTTGCTCTGAGGCTTGCTTATGGGAAGAATAACTCTTAAACACATCGACTTACAGTGGAATCTTTTGAATGGAAGGATTTAAGATTAACTTCGGGTATACATACACCAAAAGAGAATACAGAAATCATGGTGGCTGCAACCAACGACTTAATTTAAACAACAGGGAATCCCACTTAACGCATTTGGAACAGATAAAAATTTAAACCTTGTTACCTCAGGTGTGATTTGACTGGGTTAAAGAGAGAGACTGAGGTCAGGTTCGTCTGTAACGAGGGTGCAGTGCAGGTAAATATTCAATTCTACTCTTTTTATCCAATTGAAATCATTGCAAGCATGAACTTAATCTTTACTGTGATATTTTTTTCCTGAAATTAAAATAAAAAGACGATATTTATTTTTATTAATCATCTAACTTGTTGTATTTCTAGGAATATATTGGAGATATATTTGAACCTAAGTCCTGTGAATATACTATTGTAATCCATACTGCTAAAATATGCTCAGTGCCGCATCTTAGGTAATTCAAGAAGGACACATTAAGAATATTTTGCGCAATTTATATCTGAAGTAATTTGTCCACGAAAGGGAAAAGAAAATTCGAAATTAAATGTGTTGTGAAGGATTAAAAAAATTGCATTTTGTATTGATTTTTCGAAAAACTAGTGGGAAAAGATGATTTAAATTCATTAAACCAGATTCATAATTCAACGAACTTTTTAGACCGGCTTCGGACCCAGTTCCCCTTGATATCAGCTGTAAACCAGTACTACCAGAGGAAACTGTACTCAAGTACAAGCGGTACACAGAACTAAAGGTACTGAACCTAATATAAGAAATGACTTCACTGTACTTTGTACTATTAGTACTTAGAGCTTAAGGTACTGTACTTTGTAACAATCATTAAGGTATTGTACTTTGTTACAATCAGTATTAAGATCTGAAAGGTTCTGCAATTAAGTACAATCAGTACACACTACACAGAGATAAAAGTACCATACTTATTTAAGTCAAAACTAGAGTTAAATTAATCAAGTACAATTAGGTGAAAGAGATATAAATACTGTACTCAAGTGTAATCAGGTCGCAGAGATAAAAGTACTGAACTCAAATACAATTTTACACCATGGGTGTATACTTTTTCTAGAATTCCCCCCCCCATATTCAAAAATTTTGGGGATGGTGGGGGGAAAAGAAAAAGTTTTACCAATTATTTTCCTCTTGAAAATCTTTTTTTTCAATTCAACAAATAAATTGCCGCTGCGCCCAACAAAACTAAACTTCTTGAGGAAAAAAAATTCAAAAGAGGGGGGAGGTGATTTCTCAGGAAAATATACATCCCTATTTTACACAGGTCCAAGAAATAGAGTAAAAGTAAACAAAATACGTAATATTCTCGAATATTCTCGAATAACTTAAAATTTAAGTCAGAATTGTTTTTAAATGTAACATTGAATTATACGCGATGGGGAGTTTTCATGAAATTAAATGTTGAAAGGAGTTTAAATGAAAATCGACTTTTTTATCCAATGTTCATTTTGATTTATGAACAATATTTTTAGGCAAAAAAAGACGAATTAACCTTGCAGAAGATGAAAGAGAGACAGGCTCAGGCACGAGACAAAAAAATAGTTTTCCACATTCCNTCACACAACGGCAGTCCTTATAAATCACACAATAACAGTCCCTTAAAATCACACAATGATAGTCTTTAAATCACACAACGGCAGTCCTTATAAATCACACAATAACAGTCCCTTAAAATCACACAATGATAGTCTTTAAATCACACAACGGCAGTCCTTATAAATCACACAATAACAGTCCCTTAAAATCACACAATGATAGTCTTTAAATCACACAACGGCAGTCCTTATAAATCACACAATAACAGTCCCTTAAAATCACACAATGATAGTCTTTAAATCGCACAACAACAGTTCCTTTATATCACACAACGACAGTTCCTTTAAATCACACAACGAAGGTCCCTTTAAATCACACAACGAAAGTCCTTTAAATCACAAAACGACAGTGACATAAAATTAGATTCTGTCTTTGATCTAGTTACTGCGAATGTTCCAGCATGCTCCTGACCCCGTATTAGGTGGAGGGGTAGGAGGGCTGGAGAGTATATTTACTGAACTAGGATCCTGGGTGGATTCAGCACTAGCAGCACATAATCATCCTACAATGAAAATCATTGATCTCAAGGAATAATGAGATTTTTGTTTAATGATGAAATGTATGACCCTGTAAATTTAACTTCAAACTTTGGTAGTAATTTCCCTCGTCAACGTTCTTTAGTTGCTGCATTTATCTCAATTTTTGTAGTATTTACTTTGATTTTTTAATATGAGACAAAATTGATAGCTTTTCTTATTTACTACTTCTAAACATTGTACAAGAAAAGAAGGAAATCAGAGAAACTTGGCAGTCTGTTGGTGTAACCTTAGAATTGTCAAACTTTTACCGTCGCTTGCAGTGCTTAGGATCCGGATCCGTTGGATCCTCAGGATCTTGGCTTCCTGGATCCGGATCTGTAAAAATATGCGGATCCACGGATACGGATCCAAGGGGCAAAATATCAACCAAAAATTTGAAAAATAATTTTCTTGGTTTCTGAATGGTTCATTAAGTTTTAGCTTAAAAATAAGCGAAAAAATAACACAAAATTTGTAAATTCTGATTTGTTAAAAAAAAATAACCTGAATCCGGATCCATTTTTTTCTAGTGAGGATCCCGGATCCGGATCCGCATCAGAATTAAATGGATCTTAAGCACTGGTCGCTTGAAATATCAAAGTTTCAGAACATTGCAAAGAAATAAATATTAGACGATTAGTGTGGGTAGGGATCAGTTATTTATTCTCTGCAAATCAAATCTCCTATCATTAAAGGAAAAATTAGCAAGCACCCTAAACCCTGCAATGAAAGCGATTAAATCTCCCGGAACTATTGACTCCGAACCTAACCCTGAGACTGGGACTGGTTCTATCCCAGCTCCAGGGTTTGATCCTGAGACAGATGAGAATGTTGAGCACAAGACGGAGCAGTGGAACCTTGTCAATGGGAAGAAGGACAAGAACAGGTTCGATCAAAATCCTGACTTCATCAAAATGCAGGTTAGAGCAAGGTTATATATTTCGAAACACTTTTTTTCAAAGGTTAAGAGATGAAACATTGGACTACGACTGGTATATTTTTTCCTTTCAAGCGAATAACGTAAAATGAACAAAATATATACTTTTGGGTTAGGGTTTCATTTCTTCCTCTCGGGATAAGATTTTTAAATAAATTTTTTCAAGTATTGAAAAGGNGAAGGGTTAATTCATTTTAGCATATATAAATTGTATTAATGTATGTAGGAAAGAGAGGATAATCAGCTCCACTAAACATTAAAAGTCAATAAACATGGAACGTGGACTTAGTTTTAATATTTGTCAGGAAGAACGAAACGAGATTTGGAGAAAAACTCATGAAAATCAACAGCTCTTGAAGAAATTTATTTCTCAATTTCATGATACAATCACATTTCTTCAGGTAATCCCGTTTTTACACTTTTATCTAATTATCAAATTATTTTTAAAAAAAGTTTATTCTGACTTTTGAAAAAGACCGGCCAGCCGGTGAAAGGTTTATTTTTTTGTGCGTTACATTTTTTCTTATCTTCTTTCCAAAGTTAATTAAAAGAAATCATGTTTCTTATAGTTAAGTTAATTAACAGAAATCATGTTTCCTAAAGTTAATTAACAGAAATCATGTTTCCTAAAGTTAAGTAACAGAAATCATGTTTCCTAAAGTTGATTAACAGAATTTATGTTTCCTAAAGTTAATTAATAGAAATTATGTTTTCTAAAGTTAATTAACAGAAATCATGTTTCCTAAACTAAATTAACAGAAATCATGTTTCCTAAAGTTAATTAACAGAAATCATGTTTCCTACAGTTAATTAACAGAAATCATGTTTCCTAAAGTTAATTAAAAGAAATCATGTTTCCTAAAGTTAATGAACAGAAATCATGTTTCCTAAAGTTAATTAACAGAAATCATGTTTCCTAAAGTTAATGAACAGAAATCATGTTTCCTAAAGTTAATTAACAGAAATCATGTTTCCTAAAGTTAATTAACAGAAATCATGTTTCCTTTACTTTTAGAAAAATCTGGACGAAGAACTGAAGTACGATGCAGGAATCATAGAGAAACTAGATGTACAGAAGACACAGCTCGAGAAGGTCATAGAGAAAACAAGGTACATTTTTTTAAATCTTATTTTGCGCTGTAATTCCCTTAAAGTTTTTTTTTCTCTCCTGTAGCTGTAGTGGGGTCTTGTATTGTGGTTTTGGAAATCAATGTGCTTAATCTCCATCTTTTATTAATCTACAGATTTTTTAACTTTGATAATTTATTTCTTTAATTTGAACTTTTAACATTTTCTCAGACAAACCTTGTCGCAGTTGAAGAGTCAGGAAAAGGACGTGAATCTAAGAATCAAATCCTTAATGCGACTCATTATGCAGGTAGATACAGACTTTCTTCAATTTATATTAATTTTACTTAGATATGTTTTTCGAATTGTTTCTTGATCTTTTCAGATTTAAGAATAAATTATGGGAATGCACAGCTGAAGTAGATGGCCAGAATAAAATTCATTATCTCATAAATCCACATAAAAAACAATAATTTTTTTTTTGTCGGGGGGGGGAATGACTTTAAGAAAATAGACATTTTAAATAAACTTCTTTCCTAATTAGCCTAGCATAGAAATAGGAGAGACCTAATTTTTCAAAAATTACATTTGAAGAAATGTTGTAAAGTAGTAAAGAAGGAGGAGAAGACATTAGTTTTTAATAAATGATTACTGATTAGACAAGTAAAGAAGGAGAAGAAGACATTAGTTTTTAATAAATGATTACTGATTAGACAAGTAAAGAAGGAGAAGAAGAAGATGATAAAGACTTGGAACAAGAAATAAGGTGATTGAAAAAAGAGTTCACGATTCATATATGATGAACATTTTCATGGGGGAGAGAGACAGTCCGAAATACCTTTACATTTAAAGTTGTAATCTCTGTTTGTCTGATCATAACTCATGAACCCCTTGACCTCAAATTTTGATTTGAGAACTTGGGAGAATGTCCTCATATTTGAGATCTTAAGTCCATTTTTATAGGAAAGATTGCTAAAACGTAATTTACGACCAAGCACGGGTTAACGGTGGGAGTAACTGTGAATATCCTGGTCAACGCTAGGTTCTCAAGCTAGTAAACAATAAATTTGAACCAGTCTCGAAAAAAGAAAAATCTCACTTTTCTTATTTTTATACTTCTTACATTAACCCTATCTCTGCTGGGGTACTTGAAAACCAGGATATGCTGGGGGGGGACCCCCCCCAGCAGGAATAGGGTTGAGAAATTCCAATTTCTCAAAGTTTAACGGGGTTAACCCTTTAAACTTTGAAAAGCTGAAAATCAAAATCGAGGAAAAAAGCTTTGTAATACTTATCAAGATTTTGCGAACGTTTTTAGATTTTATCAGCCGTACTTTACCTCTCAGTTTTTTAGTTTATAACTAACTAGCTGAAGGGACTGGCGTTGCCCTTGGGGGAAAAATTGATTTTTTAGCCCATGTAACCCAAGGCTAGCATGAGTATCCACACAAAAATTCAGTCCATTCGGTCCAACCGTTTAATCGAAGATAGGAAACATATATACGAATGTCGTGTTTTATTATATAGATAAAATCAGAGATTCAAGGATATCCTACCAAAGTGAAAATACTAAATCAGTATTAGTTTATCTATTTCATTTATTCGTATAATAGATTGATTGATTTTTAATTTATTTTTTTTGTCAAGGTTGCTGCAGAACGAGATGGATAAAGACGCGTTTTTGAAGAATCTAGACGTTATAAAGGTAATACAATACTAGCTAAACGCACTGAATCCTAAAAAAATCAGGTTATATCTGATTCACTAGATCCCATATAGACCAGGGCAAGATTATAGTGTAAGGAAAGTTAATTGCAGTTGCGTATACTCTGCGTACAAATTGAAACCAGTTCTCTCTGGACGGAATTTGTAAACAAGAATAGATGCTTCAATGTTCGTTTAGTATCCGAGGAGATTAAAAGAATTAAATTTTGATAATTCACATAATAGTTTCCTATGACCAGAATATTTCAATGATTTTTTATGTAAAAGATGGATCCCATGTCAGGCTTCGACATCCGTCTTGTGTTTACATTACAGCCCAGAGACAGTACACTGCAGTATATAAAAGATGCGTACACATCTGAAATAACTTTCCTTGCATCATAACCTTGGACCAGGGTAAGTGGCGGAGCTCTCTCTCTCTTTCATTGTATTACAACCTACAGGTCATGATACTTTGTTAATAGTTGATAATGATAATAAATTCTGACGGTATTAATATATCTTGATTTAATGGGATATATGTTGTATTTATATCAATTCGTAACATGTCTGTACAAGCAATTGATGCCTTGTTTTTCGAAATTCAACAAATTATTGAGAAAAAAACGAAAAAAGCTATTTTAATTTAAGAAAATTAGAAATGGCGTGAAATCCTTAGTTTAGAAACTACATTTCTCAGAAATATTTTTGTTTTTCATCCACAAGGTGTTTTATAATCACTTATGGTTAGAAGAGTGAGTGTAAAATGTCCCAATGTGTCTTATTGCATTTGATTCAATTCGAATTAATTCGTTTCGATTCGATTGGTTTTGTTTTGTAATGTGTATTAAGTCGAAGTTTTCACTTTTGTAACAAGTGAACTTATTATTAAACAATTTTAAGTTTGGTAGTTTTGTAAGGAAAAAGGTTTTGTAAATTCATATTTGTTAAGGATGACATGAAGCTTAAGTTCCCTGACATCATGAAAGATGCAATGCAGGAACTCGGGATTCAGGATGTTGATATCCAACAGGTTTATTATTAACTAACTGAAGTGCCCGACGTTGCCTGTGGAATTTTAAAAAATCTAATTTTGAAAATTGAGAGTAAAAATAGATTTTTAAAGAAAAAAATTCGATTTTTTTCAGCCTATGTTAATCCTAAGATATTTATGAGTTCCCTCAAAAAAAAAATCGGCCAATTTGGTCCAGCCGTTTGGCCAGCTATAGCTAACTTATAAACAAACAAATATATATAAATGAGCGAAGAGCTTAATAATATTGATAGCTTGGGAACACAGCCTTGCCTGAGCTGAAAACTTTAGAATGATGGATAGAATAGACTAGACTAGACTAGACTAGACTAGACTAGACTAGACTAGACTAGACTAGACTAGACTAGACTAGACTAGACTAGACTAGACTAGACTAATTTTAAGGAGGATGAGGCTATGGCTGGTATGGAGAATGAGTTGAAAACTCTCCTGCAGAGGCTGGGAGGAGCAGAGGTTGGTATCGAGGCTGCTCATCAGCAGTTAGACTTAATCAGGTTCGTTTTTTTAACAGAAAAATGTCAAGTTTTTCTGATGTTGGTTTTTGATAAAAATAACGATTTCAATTAAATCTTCGGAAATATATGTTAAATATTGAATTTAATATTTCAAATTTTTTTTATCAATATAAAATATATCAAAATCAGGTGGAAAAATTCAAAATTTAAATCATTGGAAATGACAATTCTTGAAAGAGAAAGTTAAGATTAACGTTTCCTAAAAATTTCTATAATAAGTTAGTATATGATTTGCAGAGAGGAGGCAGATAAATGTATAGATTGTCTTCTTTCCCCTGCTTTAATGATATGTGTTGATAACAATTAAAAATGTTGAAATTCTTAAGAAACTCTTTTAACACTTTGATCCCTGTACATCAGTATACAATTGATAAAAATAAATATTGATTTAAAGCCAAGACTAGTTCAGCTTTGGTAATCCTAGAAACTGACTTTTAATAAATTCTACATCGATTTTCTCGCACGCTGATCTAAATGTCTTCTGTTGGGGTTTTATCAGGTTTCAAGTTCTCGTGCGAATGTACAGAATTATAAGCAACGAATTTTCATTGTTGATGTAGGTTAGGTTTAATAGTTAATAACCTTCTAAGTTCTAAGTGTGTCCTGTGAACACCGTAGACTGCAATTCTTCCTTGATTCCGTAGGATGAATGTAGATCAGGATATTCCTGTATTAGTTTAATGTCAGGTCTGGAAGGATCTTACTCTTTAAAGAGTAATTATTAAAATATCAGAAGTTTTCACTTTCTGTAATTGATCTAGATACAATCCCTCAAGAGCAACAGTAGTATGTAGTACAGAAACGATATGTACAGTCATCCTCAGATTCTTTCTGCCTGCATAGGAATTATTGTTAATCTAACATTTGACTCAAGTTAGATAGATATAAACAATACCTTGGAGGTTTTCCAGACTAGCTGTGTGCTGTAGATCATTTTGAGATCCCTTTAGATCGCTGTGAGATCTTTGTTAAAGCTGACTGGGAGTGTAGAAGGGTAAATATAAGATGTAGGATCAAATTGTAGATAGGAAGCCCTGGTAAAGATATCCGCATCTAAAGATCAATCAGTTGAAATCATGTTTCAACATCAATTATCTTCTACAAATGAATACATTTCAATAAGCTGCTTGTGTTTGTGAGACAACCCTAGCCTCTTTTGGAGCCTCAAGAACTCCGGAATATACTGATCACACTTGATGATCAACTGGATCAAACAACTGCAGTTTAATTAATGAATTTAATGCTTTATATGATCTCCGAACAAAGTTTTGAAAACTATTTTGTACCTTGATTGTTATTTGATTTGAACGGATCACATCTTGAGATAGGATTAGGGAGTAAGTCTTTACTGATCTTGATCTCTTATGATCATCTGCAACATGACGATCATTATTTACCATGAAAGCTTGGGATTAAATATTGCATGTTAACAGTTGTAACATTTAAAATGTGACGATATTAATTTCTTTTAAGATGCTCGATAAAAACCTGGTTTACATTATTTCTTAGTTCTAACATACAGAATAAAAATACATTTGATGTTCTTTTAACTTGAAAATTGACAGGATTAAAGGGAATGTTCTTGATTATTCTGCATATATAGTTCTTGAGTGGATCACACTGGTTTAGCCTTCTTCTTTCAGGCTGTAGTTTATCCTAATATAATGTTCAGATTTTACAGTCATTGTATATATAAAAAAATTAAGAGAACATTTAATTTCAATTTTGATTTATATCAAGCTTTTAAACAGCATGGATACACAAACATGGAAACAAAGAGAAGCTGTCAATTAAAAAAGATGCTCTTTAAATACTTGTACGCCTGTTATTTGAATAGAGCTTGGCAACAAATCAAAACTGGAACAAAGAGTCGTCTTTATTGTTCTGATAAAATGGCCGACCAATGTATGCTCGAAACTGGAATTTATTTGTTCTAGAACCTCTGGTAGTCTGAAGAGAGATGGGAAAAAGAGCGTCAAGAAAGAATTAAGAGTTGACGAAACAGGAAATCAGGTAAAACATGAATTTAGTCAATATAAATAAAATCTTTCTTGTTTGTATGGTAATGACGCAAAAACTCCTGTATTAGACTGACTTTTAGGACTTAGAGAAAATTGTTTACTATATAGCCCGGATTGGATTCCAGGCCACTGTCTTCTATTTTATATCCAGGCCACTGTCCACTTGGTGGTGTGCAGTGCCCTAAAGGCGGTTTTTAGGTTCCACGTTGGGTTCCCTTTACAATTTAAGACGGCAAAGCGGGACAGTACACCAAATGGCAAAGCGGGACGGTACACCAAATGGCAAAGCGGGACGGTACACCAAATGGCAAAGCGGGACGGTACACCAAATGGCAAAGCGGGACAGTACACCAAATGGCAAAGGGGACAGTACACCAAATGAATCTTTAACTTTTAGTACAATTAATGACGCCTATGTTTGTAGCATAAGTACAAATCATGAGAAAATATTACAATTTAACAGGATAAAAGGCTCATACCTAAATTATTGGATTATAAGTGAAAAAAAATAGAATTTCTATCCATTTTAGAGTTATTAGCTTTGATCCTTTAATTCAAAAGTTTCAGTCTCAATTTTTTTTACAATGCTTTAAAGTTTATTGTGTGTAAAAATGTTGGTTTTGCGATATTATTAATCTTGAAATTCAAAGCCATTTTTGCTTTTATATTTTTTTCTAAGAAAATATTCTAAAATGATGAAACTGAACGGATATCTGAGCTCTGTAGGTTCCTCCTTCCACGGAGGAAACTCGAGTTTTGAAGTATACCCTTACACAACCTGAAACACAAACAATGATTCTCTCCTAGTAGTTGATCTAGCTGGAGCTAAGTTATAATATTTATTTTTAGGAGATTCAGGATACATCAGACACTATCCAAGATACTAAACAGAAACTCCAGCAGATAGAGAACACTCTTGATCAGGTCAATTCATCTCATGGTTTGTTTTTAAAATAGTCCTGCCACAGGTCACAACGGCAGGGATATTTATTTTCAAAAATTAACCACCCCTGAACGGGGGATCAGAATTATTTTTGATGCCCTGGAAAAAAATTCTTTTTTGATACTTTCACCCAAAATTTATTTATTTCTCAATTTAATAATTTTATTTTCCCCAGTAAAGCGAAACATCAGGAAGACATGATTTAAAAAAAAAGATTTGCCCTATTATGAATGTTTGCAGTTAAAACAATTCCATATTAAATTTAAAGTTAAGAAAAATGCTCAAAATATAAGTAACGTAAACTTCGGAGAATAATCTAATCTTTTTTGGGAAAATTGAACTGCTAGGGATAAGTCTCTTCAAAGTCAAAAGGGACGAACATTCTAGCTGGAATATGGTCAGGTCTCTGAGCTGTACTTGGTTTTAGTTTTAATATTTTCTCTTTAACTTTAGTTTGCTTAAAAACTAAATCCCTGATATAGCCATTAGAAAGTGGGGGACAATATGGAATATTACTGCTGTCCTCTTTAGTAAAAACACGACACAAAGATTTGTATAAAACTCAAGCCATATGTTTGTAGTCACTAATCATCTTGTTGTCACTTTTAGAGGTCCAACTCCTGTTCGTTTTTTTTGTTCTGGTAATATAAGAAGTAAAAGGCCTTTTATTTTCATTCTTTGCCATCAGCTGTTCAAACTTTCTTTTACCCCCTCTTACCGCTTTTTTACATTCCTTTTGAGCTTTAATAAAATTATTTTTTTGTGTTCTGGTCTGCATATACTGTCTTTGATTGGTCCTGATTAATCTCATAACTTATTAGGTCATCCATTTCGGTTTATTAGCTTGAGGTCTGTGGATTTTAGGAATAAAAAGGTTCATTCCCTCCATTGTTTCCTCCTGTTCTTAATCCTCCTCCTCGTCCGTTGGGATGTCTTCCAGACGCATGGCCGTACCTGGAGCCTTGATGACCTATATTATATCCTCCCTACTCATCCCCCTTCCTCCCTCCCGCCCCCCTCCTCCAATGGGATCATAAATGAAGGAGTAGTTGGAGCAAGTGGATCAATCAATGTTGTTGTTGGTACCTCCATCCGCTGTTGCTGTATCTGTTACTGTTACATTGAGTTTCAGTTCTGTCAGCATTTGGTCACATTCTTGTATTTTTGAGTAATGAGGGATTATCCAAATTTTTATGACGTTTAAAAACATTTTCTATTAAAATCTAGTAAAAAAACTAAAATTTCAAAGATCAATAAAGTAATTATTTTGAATTAAGGTTGAAGAAAGGTTGCAGGAGAAGAAAAAGAAGGTGATGGAAGGAATAGAAAAGGTGTTAAATCACTCAAAATATATTTATAACTACTTTCCTTACATTCGTGATAAATTTAACTCTGTGTCTTGGATTTGATTTGTTTAAAACGTTAAAAGGAGACCTTATTTAATATGTCAATTTGCCATTAGCTTTTGTTCAACAAACGTCAATCTCGCTGAACTGACTGAACCCAAATTTAATAAATGAAAATGTTTCGTCGTAAAAAAATCGCATTATTAGAAAACTTTGACAATCTACGATCGATACGTAAGTTTTAAGAATTAATTTTTTTGATTTATTTTTTAATGATTTTAGATTGGAACAGAATTAAAGAAGATGCCGGATACTGATGTTGATGAATTAAAGGTTGGGTTTCTCAAAAAAATATTTTTCCAGTATTTGGCAATTCCAAAAGTGACCTTGCTCGAGAAAGTAATTTTTTTATTTAATTTATTTGTTATCATTGTTTTTGAACTCTCAGCTGTTCAGTGATGCGGATCCGGATCCAGGTCATGAACATTACAAATGTTGAAAAGAAGAAGAATTTTTAACATTTTTCTGTTTTTGTTTGCTTATTTCAATACTAAAACTCAATTAACCATTCAAAAAGAAAAGAAAATTTGAATAGTGTCTTTTTTTAAAAGTTCAGAATTGGGTGTTGAGAGTTTTTGGCTGATATTTTGTCCCCTAGATCCGCATGTTTTGCCGATCTGAGCTGAAAACTTTAGAATGGTGGACATCGAGATTAATGCTTAATCCTCTCTTTTTCTTAATATCGAGAATAACCTTGTACTAGTATCCTGAAAAATGAATAAAATCCAACCAATCAGAGTCGTGTATATGAAGCCGATAAATTTGAAATTTTGCGCGCCATTTAAGATAAATATACAGAAATGGGAGGGACTCTCTTATTTAAAAAAAACCGGTTTTTGAGTTTTCTTTACTATATATAAGAAAGAACGGTTTAAAAAGAAAATCAAAAGTGTGTCAATTGGATACTCAGTTTAAGTAATCGGGATTAAGGATATCTCAGCCTAAAAGTTAAAGAACCAACGGATCCGGATCCATGAAGCCTAAATGTTAAAGAGCCAACGGATCCGGATCCATGAAGCCTAAATGTTAAAGAGCCAACGGATCCGGATTCATTAAGCCTAAATGTTAAAGATCCAACGGATCCGGATTCAATAAGCCTAAATGTTAAAGACCCAACAGATCCCGATCCATGAAGCCTATATGTTAAATATCCAACGGATCAGGATCCATAAAGCCTAAATATTAAAGATCCAACGAATCCGAATCCATGATGCCTAAATGTTAAAGATCCAACGGACCCGGACCCATGAAGAGATCCGGATCCATGAAGCCTAAATGTTAAAGAGCCAACGGATCCGGATCCACCAACCTAAATGTTTATGATCCAACAGATCCGGATCCATGAAGCCTAAATGTTGAAGATCCAACGGATCCGGATCCATGAAGCAGTTATGTTAAAGAGTCAACGGATCCGGATCCATGAAACCTAAATGTTTAAGAGCCAACGGATCCGAATCCATGAAGCCTAAATGTTAAAGAGTCAACGGATCCGAATCCATGAAACCTAAATGTTTAAGATCCAACGGATCCGGATCCATGAAGCCTAAATGTTAAAGAGTCAACGGATCCGGATCCATGAAGCAGTTATGTTAAAGATTCAAGGGAATCAGATCCATGAAGCCTAAATGTTCCGGATCCAACGAATCCGGATCCAGGAAACCTAAATGTTTCGGATCCGGGTTTTAAGCACTGCAGCTGTTATAAAGGATTAAGGGGTAAAATGTTATTAGGCTGATGAGCTGGTGAAGAACCTGGAGAGTACTATTAAGAAGAAACTAGAGAAGCTAGGTCTGGATACAATGGATAGACCTATAGAGGTTAAGGTCAGTTCCAGAGATTATCTTGAAATTATCAAACTTTAATTTTGGGGGTTATTTTTAATATATTTAGTTGAAAAAATATAATTTGTTAGGAAAGTTTGCTCTGAACAGTAGTAGGTATACATTTCTCAAACCTTCATGTTCACAGCTCTCTCCAGTAGTAGGTATACATTTCTCAAACCATTTAAAGGGAATGCTCCCTTCTACCAGTTATGGATCAGGGGTCCATATAGTTCCAATCCAATGGTATATAAAACGTTGATTGATGATGGAGGGTAGAAATTCACCGTGTTGTCGTTGTAAACAAAAGTTAATAAAAAGACATTTTCTTCTCAAATACTTTATTAAACAAACAGAAACTTATACATTTATAAAATTATTAAGTGGCTTGTTCACCTTGTATGTTTTCAGATAAGATAACAAACGTGATTATCAGATATTCCATGAAAGAAGAACGAGAGATAAAACTTTTAAGAAATCAGCAAAATTATGGATTCATGAATTTACAAAGTGGCTTGGTCGCCCTATATTTTTTTAGCTAAGATAGCGAACTTGATTTTATATCCAATGAAAGAAAAACGAGAGAAAAAACTTAATAAAAATCAGCAAGAATTATGGATAAGGGCATAAATGCATTAATGCCTGGAGCTAAAATGCATAAGTGCAAAAGTCATGATCTCTTATATTTATATTAATTTGAACACCTAAATGGATTAAACAGAAAGAAGTGTAGTATATACGTGCACAAAAAGCTTGTTAAAGTTTACATTGACATAACTAGTCTAATTTCCGTCACAATCAAGTCTGATCCCACCAGGATCAGAAATAGACTTATTGGACCACTGTTGAAAATTGAATTTATATTTTTAAACAAGGCGTGGCTAGTTGAACTACTGCTCTTTCGACCACACTTGAGAAGTAGTCTGCAGCTAGTTCGACTCAGTTCTCGCTCTTCATTTAATCCGACCTCTGAGCGTATAAAATTTAAAATTATTTTAGGCAACTTCAGATTGATTAGATTCAAATTTACATAAATATTTGTATCGCAACTACATCTTTAATTAGTTATTACTAGGGGCTGTGTAGTGTGTAATCAAGCGAGTGAAGAATTCACCTTGGTAGCAAATAGTTACAGGTAGGACCCCCCCCCCCCTTACCCCTTAAATGTTAAAAATTCCCCTGTCTTATCCCCCCCCTAAATGTTCATAAATAAGGAGTTCATAATAATTTTGAGCCAGTTTAACTATTTTTGGGACTTTATTGAAGGGAATTCGATAGTATAATATTTGGGGACTTGTCCCTTTATTTAAGAGAAAACGACAACAAAAAAAACCCCCGTTTTTTACAATGTATTTAATTGTTGTGAATTATTAATATATTAGGTTTACATTTTCTTTAACCTTACTTAACGATGTATCCTCCCCAGGTACTCTCAGTTCTACTCCAACAAGCTATTCTTTGCCTTGGTCGACTTTGACGAGGCGGGCGAGGTTTTTCAAGCTCTTGGAATTAACAGCGCTCCGGCGTTCGTTCACTTTCCACCAAAGGTAGGCACTGCAGGGGAATATATTTAAAGATGGGGGGGGGGGGGGAGGAATTAATATCGGCTGAAAAGCCCTCTCCCTCTTTTTTAAGCTGCGAGTAAATATTTCTAATTTACCAAGAAAGTATACAGAAACTTTAAAATTTGATGTGATGTGGTAGAATTTGTCATCAAAAGTTTATGGCGTATAATAAATTCCTGGTTTTTTGGTCTATATTTCATTTCAAAACAATCTACAAAGTTGTGATATAAGAAATATTAAGTAGATTTGCAAGTGAACCCGACATGGAACCCCCAGACCGCCCTCAGGGGTACAGCGCATCAACATGCAGCCTGGAATATATTGTAATATATTGATTGTTGGAGATAAACATTCGACAATGATGAAAACATGTGTTCCCAACAATAGAAACTGAGGGGGAGGGGGAGGGGTTGGGAGTGCAAATATTTAAAATTGAAAACCGATCATATCGCGCAATGTGCCCCCACAGATAAGAGATTGGTGTTGAACCCTTAGAATTCATTATATTACTAATATTGTTACATATTTATTTAGGTTTGGTACACAAAAAGTACGTGTAAAGATCACAGTTTATAATGCAGAAGACTATATCGTCCTGGAAAATCGTGTAATTTTACACCCACCTCCCCTTCTAATAGTTATTAGGGATGATTTGTTACTGATTTTATTCCCCGAATCGAATCCCCCCCCCCCCCCCCCCCCCCAAAAAAAAAACCCCGTTGGTCTTTAATGATTTGAATTTTTGAGACTTTGTAATTGCTGGAATCGTGTGTGGAGAGCTTACCCTGCATTGAGAGCCTACCCCCTATTGTTCACACCATTTCTACACAATTTTTAAAGATCATAATCAACGTTTTGACTTCTGCAGATATATATTGGAAGTATTTGATTTGGACAAACACATCTAAAATTATATCTAGAGGGTGTCCCGTTTTATATTAGATCGTCATGACGAGTCTAAATTACGTTTTTTTGGCACTTATAAGAAATTTTAATCATTTCATAAAATTGAATTCGGTTTATTTAAAAATTTCTTGCAAAAAATGTTAGGTTTTTCGAGTATTATGTGTTTAGTATGCTATTAAAGCTTTGAGATAATCTAATATGATATGGGACGCTCTGTATGTCTCTATAAATGATAATTTTAATGGAAGACGACACTAGCCAGGAGCTTTAAAAATATTCTAGAAATTAACCCGCCTTCATTTATGTAAACTAATAATTTTAAATGCTTTTAGATTGGTCGCAATCTCATTTTCATTAAATGTTCCTTAATTAAAAGACAAAAATATCTTATTTGTCCTACAAATATATATATTTTCTATCAGGATATTGACAGTCAGTGGAAAGCTGAGAAGAATTATCAGTTCTCCTGGGACGAATCCCAGATCCAGGAGCTCCAGGATGAAATATACAAACTTGAAACAGAACCCTCGGAACAGTCCCTTCTGGGTGGACTCACCTCAGACCAGGTTAGGATAGAAATTTCTTAATGTAAAATGACCTTATGGTTATTTGGTAGGTTATTGGACATTGGACATTGGATATTTGGTATTTGGTTTTTGGTTTTTGGTTTTTGGTTTTAGGTTTTAGGTATTTGGTACTTGGTATTTGGTATTTGGTATTTGGTATTTGGTATTTGGTATTAGGCATTTGGAATTTTGGTATTTGGTATTTGGTATTTGGATATTGGATATTGGATATTGGTTATTGGTTATTGGTTATTGGATATTGGTTATTGGTTATTGGTAACATCAGCATCATGACACTTGAGCCAACTTAACAATATTCTTAATTTATTTCTTTTGATATTCAAAAAAATTAATTGAGTTTAATAAAAATGTACAGTGTACACGTTCATGAATAAAGGAAAACACCACACTAGTTTTGTAATTAATCCAAATAAATTATTGAATAAGTAAACACAACTAAATCTAGAGAATTCATTATTTAGGTAAAATGAAACATCAAATGATTCTGATAACAAGAAACGTAAAATACATGAGGAATAAAATACATGAGGAATAATTTTTTTTTAATTTCTTCTTTTTAGGATGATTTAGTGGATACAGATGTGAACGAGGCTGGTGTAGATTTTAATGATGTGCTCGAAGAGGCGGGGAGCATTGTCAATCAAATGTTTGTCATTGGAGAACAAAGAACTCGGCCATCGTCAATTGTAAACATTTTCGGCCGGCCAGAGGTAGATTCGGAACTGGATGATCTTGAAAAAGAAGAAGAGTTGCTGAATGATATTGAAGAATTGTTGAGAAAGAATCATGATGAACTCTCCAAGGATTATGACTTGCTTTCTAAGGAATACGGTGAGCTGTCTAAAGATTATGATGATGCAGATCTACAGGATGATGATGATGAAGACTATGATGAAGATAATGATGAAGTATTAAACCCCCAAGAAGTTGATAGGGAGGAGAAGGATTGGATTTCTGAAGATGATTCTAAAAGTGAATATCCTGCTCGCGATGAATTGTGAGACAAGAAAAAATATCCATTTGAGTGGAAAATAGAAATTGCAAGTATATCTCCATCTGAAGTGAGTGGCATGTCTTGATTCATAACGGTATCCTTTAAGCTTTAGTTTGATTAATGATAAAAATAATTCTAGCTGAGAATTGATTATTTTCAAGTGTGGTTTTTATAATATATGTGTAATGTATATTTAACTCGCGGATTTTTTGCAGCAGTGATATCGAAGGAAAATGTCAAATTTTTTTAGGGGAAAAATTACTATATCTTCCTCATTTGAACTCGGATTAAGGATTAAATGGTATCGTTGTGAATCTGAAATGCCACTTTAAATGGAGGGTATCTGGAGATTACATCAAACTCCATTTGTAAAGAAATGGAAAAATTTATTATTCCTAACTTTGTGATAATCAATTGTAAATATGCACATTTACATGTTTTAGGGAATTGGGTCGTAAATTTGTGGATTTTTTAGCTTTAGTATTTAGGCATTGTCAACATTAGAGCAAGGTGCCGTTTTCAGATCTCACATTAAATCTTGATAATAAACAAGGGTGTTATACGGATATAAATATTCAATTTCGATCTTGATGGTGTAAAACCTTAAATGGTGAGATCATTTAGTGCTCTGTAGACATTTATTTTTGACGCATCTTACATTTGATCTTTTCGTGATTATCTTACAAATTTTATATGATTAGTGGTTATGTGTTTAAGTTGCCAAAATTTTAGCAAATGCAAATTGTGATAATTCTAAATATTTATCATTAATAAATAAATGGAAAAATATTATTGTTTATTTATGAACGGACCCTGGTAACCGGTTGATATTTTAATATTTGGACCAATGAGAGAATGCCAGGAGTGAGCGACCAATAGGAGCTGAGGACAATTCTGTTCAACCAATTAGATTACTTATCGTGTCCGGTGTTCCTGTCCTGACGATAGACAAGTGTTCAGTGTTCTGCAGAGTGCATAAAATCTGTATTCTGGAAAGTGTAAACATCAACAGTATTTCTTATGATAGTGAACAAGAAAGATCCAGTTTCTGAAAGATGTTGTAAGGGTGGTCGTGAGCCTTTAAAATGGATAGGGTTTCCTAGAAGAAATAAATAGTTCAAAAGTCATGTTATTTTCACGAAAATATATAGTTCATCCAGTTTAATGAAAACTTGGTATTAGATAAGATTCAGACAATATTTAGGCGCCGTGGCTAGGATAAGTTCGAGAAAATTATTGCAGAGACGAACAATTTAGGAGAAGAGAGATGAACTAGTGATGAAAAGAGCAGGATGAACTAATGATGATGAAAGGATCAGTGACGGACTAGTGATGATGAAAGGAGCAGGGATT